ACCGCGCTCTGCAACGGTTACTTTATCTTCAGTGACAGCAGGCGCTTTAAGCCCGCCTGCCAGGCTCCAACACCTACTTTTTAGGCATTACGACACCTAGCTTGGCTGTAAAACACCCCTTGCCTGAACCTGATCTCCGAGCCTGCTGTAAAAATATTCCGTCCTCCCCAGATAATTATGTTCTTCATATGCATCTAGGAGATGACCTGGGGTTCCCGGCACTTTGGTGGCAGGAGTCCTGCTCCCCGCACGCGGCGTGCCCGCACACAAGCAGCCTCCTCTTACCTTCCTCTGGCGGCGGTCGATAACCAGTATCACAACCACAGTGACTGCCACAGCAGCCAGGGTCACCAGCACGCTGGCCTCCCAGTAGCGTCCGAAGGAACACAGCTGGACTGTGGAGTAAATGTTTGTCCAGAGAGACATGTAGAAAACCTATAAAAACCCAGAGAGACTGATGATACTCACAAAACTATGAAAGTGAGAAAAGTCAAGAGAAGAAGAAAACTGCCGGTCCCTTCTCCCAGGGCAATGCCTTACCGTAAATTAAGTCACACAAGATTTTCAGAGGGTGAGAGAGGCAATAATAAGTAGGGGGAAAAAAGGACTAGAAGGACTGAGTGAGCCCTAGTTTATTATAAAAAATTACCAGTCAAAGACAGAGAGTGAATTATTAATCATGATTCATACCTAGGAAGGATTTCAACCGAGTTCTTCCATTTAGATAAGAAATGTACCCACTGAGGCATATTGATAATACTTCTAATAGTCCCTGTATTTAGAAAGCTCCTATGTCAAAGCACTCAAGGTGGTGCAGAGACTACTCAATTACAATAACACTCGAATGGTGGACACTGACACTGGGCTCAAGGACTATGCTAAGGACTGACAAACTTGGCCTTTGCATAAAGACAGGTAAAACTGAGTTCATTTGGCCTTTACTTCACATAGCATGTATTTGGGCAGGAGATTGCGTAGAAGCAAATATGACGTGTACAGCACAGCGTATCACAGCATCAACTTGCAATAATGTAACTCATTTGCACTAAACAGACACCAAAACCCTGAAAACACTCAGCACCAATTCCTGCAATTATTAGTGAAAGAAGGAGAACACATGTATAATGGCTATTCAAAAAAAATAAATTCAATTAAGACAAAGCAGTCAGTTTTTAATCACACCCTCAGCATGCTGCAAAGTAGCAGCCTTACAGTAGATGCTAATGGCTGGGGTCTCTAGAGGAGCTTTTCTCCCTAGAAGCAGCCAAGCAAGACTACACAAGCAACTCGGAACCCAAAGTTGACTGGTCCTTTGGTCTGAATTAGCATCAGAACCAAAATATTTTCAGGTTTTAAAAAAAAGTTAAAAAAAAATTCTTATGTAGGTGCTATTACCTCAGCAAATGCTGAGTATCCAGCAATGGACAGCCTGCTTCACTGGGGCTACCAGCAAGGGGTTGGAGAAGGTGCCTTGCCCTCCATCTACAGAAAGTCTGTGAACTAGGATTTCCAAAGGAGCACACTAGGATGTGTGAAAACCAGTGTCTCTTCCCCACCCAAACCTCTCTCCCTCCCTGGACACAAGAACCCCAGGTGTAGTCTTGAAGCATTTTGGCAAGTGCATGTCTATGGCAAGCCTGTGAGAGACCCCACCATCCTTACCACGGCAATGGCTATCTGGAACGCCCTGGAGTTGTAGAACATGTACCGTCTCACTTCAGGCTTTAGGACAGCATCCTGGATTAAACTCCTCCACTGATCCGCTGCCACCTGCTCAGGGAGCAAACAGCAAACTGGGGCCACCCTCCAGTTTCGGGCTCCTAGTCCCATCAGAACTAGCTTGGGCAGTCGTCGTGGGGCCAGGCTGGCCCTGCAACTGAAAGCTGTGTCCCAGAGCACCCTCCCACAGAGCACACCTCCGATCTCATCCATACAGCTGTCACAAACCAAAAACACGTGTTCTTCCCTCATTTGCAGTAAGTAATATCTCCCTGGAAAGTGCAGGGAAAGTCACAAGAGAAAATCGTCTTTTTATGACAAAGGACAAGACAAGACAGTTTGTCCCAGGGATGCTCCATCCCATCAGAGTGACTTTCAAGGAATTCACCAGAACCTGTTTGAGTGGGTTTCTTCATGGAGGTTTAAGCCAAGATCATTACAGCTGACTTGCAGTCCATGGGGAATAGACTGAAGCTGAACTGAAACAAGCGACTCTCAAACAAAAAAAAAAAAAAAGAAAAGCTGTCTGTGATGTGGGTGCAAATGCAAATCATGCTAATCCAGCTAGCATTCACTCCTACAGTGTCCCCAGGGGAGATTACGCATGAGGAGCTTACCTGAACCCCAAGGGACTTCAGTTTCTCTGCACAAAGCTCCATGTCAAAGGAGGTGGCTGAGCAGTTATTGTCCATGCTGAGCACCATGAGCACCTGGCCATTGAGGGGTTCTGCAAGAGCCCAAAGGAGTCATGAGCATGGTTTTGGCATGGTTTCTTCTCCCAGCAGCTAAGGAGCACATGGCAAAGGGAAGGCTGAGGAACGCAGACCATCCTGATGTGTTTTAAATGGATCCAGAACCCCACCTTGGACATTTCTAAGAACATCGCAAAGAGCTTTGGAAGCAGCACAGCAGCCTGATGTCCCCTGCAAGGAAACAACCTAGAAAAAGGGAGGAAACCCCAAACACATGATGCTCTTGATCCAAACACATGATTATCTTCAGCAACCTCACTGATCCCTAACTGAAAGGACAATGGACTCAAGCTGCTCGGAGTTGCTAAGCCTACCTACCTCTTAGAGAGATCCCCCACTGCCTACCCACCTCACCCACCACAAGAAAAAGCTTGAGCAATCAAATCAAAATGCTTTCCAATAATCACATTGTCTGGGATGTGGCAGGGCTGCCCTGGGGCATGAGCTCCATAGGTCCTCCAGCATCCAGGTCCCCGCTCTCGCAGTGCTCCTGGGCAGCACGGCTCTGCTCAAGGCTCTCAGCTTCCCAGCCTCAGCTAGGGCTAGGATCAGAGATGTAATCTAGAGACCCGAGTTGCAGTCAGGAGCCCAGAAAGTGTGAGGACAGCCTGCCCTAGATTGGAGGAGCAGGCTGCTCGGAGCTGAGGCAGAGCAGCCCTGGAGTGACACAGGAGAGCTGTGATCTCCAGACGTCCCATCTGGTATTCATCTAGAGCTTACACAAGCTGCGCTACGTCACGAGGAAGAGATCGGGTCTAAGGAAGTGGCATGTTCAGATGAGATCCTGTTTCACTGAAACGTTTCACCAGTTTTTCTTCCCCTTTGCAGATCTGGGGTCAGCCAGGTGTCCCCTGGGGCTGCTCCTGCTGACACTGCCTGGTCAGCGCTCTCCCAAACTGCTGTGCTGGCTGAAACAGTGTGCGCTCACCCTTCCCTTCCCTCCCACTCATGTCCTCCATCCTCACCACCTCTTCACTGCTCAGGAACAGGAGATGTCAAGTGAAAGGAGGCAATTATATTACAACAGGGCATGACTGCATCGAGCCAAAAAGGGAAGAGTAGATGCATCTGAAACCTCCATGATAGCAAACCTCCAGGTCCTGTTTGTCTGCTGAGGGTAATCTCCTCCTGACACAGAGCAGTGGAGGCGGTGATTATAAAGCAAGAATGAAAACAAATGGCCTCAGCCTTGAGCTCGGCTGTCCTGTTCCCCATGGTCAAGTTCCTAGCACAAAATCTAGCAAGGTGGGTGCCAAGCTCAGATACCTGAGATTTGCAGAGGGGCTGAGCCCCTTGACCTCTGCTGGAGCCTGCTGGAGTGACAAGAGCTGCTTCGCCCCTGCCAAAACTGAGTACTAAGGAGGTGCCATGAACGGAGCAAGAAAAAAGGGTGCCCTGCAGAATGGTGCGTGGAGGTCTCGGTGCAAAAAGCCATCCATGGCACTGCCTTCTGCCTCTTACAGGCAGTTTCTGAAGTAGTGCTGCAAATTGTTACCGGAGAAGGGAGTCACTTGGAAAGCACAGGTCAAGGTTCCCAAATATTCCTTGACTTTTGAAGGCTAAGAGAAGAGGACCTCCAGGGTCCTGATTTTCAATAGGTTGATGCCCATTCATTCCTATATATCAGGCTTTCCAGAGAAAGTCAAAGTGTGCCCATCCCCTCCCCAAAATGGTGAAACATCCATAATCTTTAGTTACTTTTGCAAATGAGATGCTGTTAATGAGCACCTTTGAAAAAACTGTCTTCTGTTATTTTAAGGGTGCTGTATTCAGTACTGTCTTTCTCCTTATCATCAACAACTTGCTCGCTTACCTTTCATCCACTGCAGGGATCCTTCCTTTAAATCACTCTTACAATAGAGGATGGAGGAAAGTGACCTATTTTTCTCAATTCCACCAGCTTGGCTTTTATGGGCCATGCTGAAGGTGCGTCTCCTTGAGGGACTCTCTGTTGTATTGTCAGAAATTCAGCACTTCGTATATTCGCCTTATCTTTCACTGTTAAGAAACACTGATTCAGCCCCAAGGCAGCAGGCAGCCCTTGCTCTCCTCGTTGGGGACCAGATTGTGAAATCTTCATTCACACTCCCACTGACGACTTCCTCGAGATCTTGCTTTCCATGAGCAAGGAGGCATTTTCTAGCCCTGAAAAGAGGAAAAGAAAATCCCAAATCTTGGAGAGACAGCAAATAGAGGGTAACAGCACAAAGCACTTGGGTGTATTCTGCTCTTTGTATTCTGCTCTTTGGACCCCACTCCCTGTAGGTGTTATCACCAGGTAGATGTTAGCCAGCCAGGAGTGCAGTACGCACAGGCTCGCCTTCTGCTGCAATTACTTTTTTTTTTTTTAATAGGTGGAAAAATTATCCTTAAATATTCCTTAAATTATTATAGTCATATTTTGTAAACAATTAGTCAAGGAATAGGCACGATTTCTCCTCGGGAAACCAACAGGCTTTTCGCAGCAGGCACTTTCAGAAGAAAATGGAGACGGTGTAAATGCCCTTCCCGGGAAGCGATGCACCCACGCAGTGGATAATTCCCCACCACACGAAGGAAGAAAAATGCATCCACCGAAGGCAGAGGCAAGCAGAGCTCTCACCCAGCAGCAGCAAAGCCTTTGAGGGTCTCTGCTTTCCTCTCCGCTCTCCTCTCTGCCGCGGGCAGTGCCAGAAGTCGACAGGGCACGTCCCCGCAGCAGGCACCGTGCCCGCGGGTTTTCCAGGCGAACGCTGCTGACGTAGGTCTCTAACCTACTGCCAGGGCCTTTATTAAAGCAAATGCTTGGAAGAGTCTGAAGTTTACTTTTCAATTGTCTTCCTCTCCCGTGGCTCAGCTGCATCCGCGCTGGCTCTCCAAAACGATCATTTACTTTTTAACCTCCACTCTGTCTTACTTTTGCACCAGGAGCCTGTTGCTGTCTCTTGGTGTAAGGGTCCCTAGGGCAGCTCATCCGTTCTCCTTCCAAAGAGGATTGCTTTATTTTTGACTGCTTGTGGCTGCAATTACCCCCTTGCACAAAGTCAGAAGAGTCACTGGTTGAAGGACTGTCAGAAAGGAAATCAAGGCAAGAGAAACGAGGAAAAGTTCTTCTGATTGCAGAAAAAAACCTGCAGAGAGCTAGAAATTCACACTTAAAGGAATCAAGCCGTGGTACCCATTGCACAAGAGGTGTGCGGTGTGTGTGCGTACATGGGATGGGCACAGCACCCGCTCTTCACCAGCGCAGGTGAGGAGCGATTCTGCTGTACGTCGAGCGCGGCTCTCCAGTGCGATTTCCTTGCTGAGCCCGGGCAGCCACGTGTTACAGAGCACATCTCCCAGCACCAAAAGGTGGATTCAGACAGTGAATTTTCTCAGTCCTGTCCCCCTTTTGCCTTTAATCCCTTCAGGTTAGCATCAAACAGAAGGGAAAATGAAAAACAAGACAGAAAAGCCCACACAAAACAGCAGCAAACAGAGGAAACAAAAGGAAAGCCTAATTAAAAACTACCACCCTGCTGTCACATGAAGTTAGAGATGAATCAAGGCTCTCTGGCTTAGATGTCGAGAATTTTGGGTCTCTGGAGGACAGTCCCCAGGAGACAACAGCAAACATCAGGGTGAGGGCAGCTCAGCCTTCCCCAGCCCGTCGGGGAGCTGCAGGAGGGAAACAGCCTTCCCCAGCCAGGATGAGCTCATCGGCAAAAGCAGCTTTGCTTTTACCTCTTCGTGCAGCATAGACCTTGTTTGGCTCCATTGCCTTTTACTGCAGAACAACTGCCCAGTTTTGGAGATGGGTCCCCTCCAAATCTTCCTCTGCCACCTCCTGTGCTAACGCGAGGGACATCCTCTCATCTCCTGCCCTCCCCAGCTCTGTATCTCACTACATCTTTTCTTGCTCTTTATGCAATGCCAATGTTTCTCTGGTGACTTTGCCTCCTTCAGGCTTTTTAGGACACCTCCAAGCCCTAGCTAAACAGCAGAGAAACATTCAGCAAGTCCTTCTGCTTCATTTCCAGAGCGGCCGGCAGAGGCTTACCTGGTCCAGCTCACCTCCTGCACCTGGGGAGCCGGCTCAGCTCCCTCCTCCTCCTCCTTCTCCTCACTGTCCTTTATCTGCCATCTGCACTGCCCAGGCGCCACGCTGTCCCACCGCCGAGCAGGGAGGTCCCCGGTCCCACAGCCCCAACCTGTGCCAGGGAAGGTCTCTCTCTTCCCTGCGTCTCCCAGGGACCACAGACTAACCAGGCACGGCTCACCCAAGGCAAGAAGCCCGCGCCCCCGCGCTCCCTCTCATTACCCCGAGCTGCAAGCACCAACTTGCAAAATCTCCCTTGTGCATGTGACTTCTCCCCTGGGCTGGTTTCAGAAACGTGGTTTTAACCCTCTAGAGTTCCTCAAAAGCGCTTCCCCACCGAAGGCACAGCCATGGGTGTAGATCCCACTGCAGGAGTTATCCTCACCTTTTGCAGGGTGGGGGTCCAGAGCTGGACCCTAAAGGCCATGCAGGGCTGAAGAGTGGCACAGGCAGAAGGCTCTCCTCTTCCTCCCCTCGATCAGCCGGGCAGGACTCACAAAGCACAAATCCCAAGGTTGCATCAGATTAGTTGCCGTGAATACCTGAGTGAAAGCCAAGTGTTGACGATAGGGCTGGAGAAATCAGAAGAGGCGAACGAAGATCTCAAGGCTGAGAACGGGTCACTGTATATTCAGCAAAAGGTCATGGTAAAGCACAGAGAAACAGGAATAAGGCACAGGGTGGGAACCGTAGCCCTTCTTAAAACAGGAGGCTGCGCTGATATGAAGGACGGGTGCGAGTTTCCTCTCCAGCCGCTGCACTCTGAAGAAAAGAAGTCGGATCACGGTCAGACAGACCCCCCAGAACAGCTTCACGTGCTGGAGAAGTCACCACAGGAGAGAAGACTCATTAGCCTGAGAATTATGGTTTTGCAGCTCACCAAAAGCTAGAGGATCCATGGAGGCTAGGAGCAGAGTGAATCAAGTATCTTAGTGACTGTTAGTCTTAGTGAATTGGTTTAAAACAAAAAAAGCTTCACTGCAGTGTGCACTTGTACACTTCCTGGAGAAAATGCCGTTCTTCTCTTGGAGGGATAAATTTCTGCAACCCTGCTTGCTCCAGACATTGCTGAGCAATGTGTTCATTACATCACGTGGCTGCAGGGGGAACAGAACTGACTTCAAAATCGCTTACCCACATGGGATCTTGTTACACTGGAAACTGGCAACTCACATAGTAACATCATCCAGGAATGGAGAAAAATCAGATAAATCTTCTTGCTGTTGTCACTAGCTCAAGGCCCAGCTCAAATCCCCGCCCAAGATAGGGCCATGCAAAGCTTTAGGTTCTTTTGCAAACACTCCTCATCAAAAGTTTTGGCTTCGTTTCCACCTCTTCTCGCCCACGCAAGGATCCTGACAGAGGGAGAATATGACAAGCAAAGTGCTTAGAAAGAGCACTGTCAGCTCACTACAAAAAAATGCCCGAGGCAAAACTCTGTGGGGGCAATAAACTTGAAAGCAACACTCATAATTACCTGCAGTGCGTACACCGTACACCTCTTGTTTAGCAAGACATGCGTGTGTGGGCTGATCTCGGCATCAACACCTCATCCCATCGGCACAAGCAGAAAAATCCTGCCTGTCTGGGAGGCGTGGGCGGGGGCGGGAGGGGAGAGAAAAGAAAAAGAAAAAAGGTAACTCCAAGTTTAAAGCAATCCCAGTTTTGCTGCTCTGAAGCAGCAAAAAAGGCCACACGCTATTAAATTTTTAGAACTTTTAGACTGGCAGGCTTTCCCTCTGAAGGTTTTCAAAGCATCTGTTTCACACCTATCTAAGGAACTGAGGAGGAAGCTCCACAGCAGCTTAAACCAACCTAAAGAGAAGGCAAGATTTTCCACTTATTTTTCCGAGATTATTTTCCACCCAACTGCCTCCCTGAGCTTGCAGATCTGGCCCAAAGGAGATGATGGATCGGCAGGTCGGGTTGTGTGGAGTCAAGGTCTCCCAGCCCAACTCTTCCTGACTTCAGCAGTCATCAAGGCACATGCTCAGAAACCTTTGGCAGGTGTTAGTTTTCTGATCATCTTATTTGGTGCGTAATTGTGATGCTTTTGTTAGGCAGGTGAGATCCTGCCAGGTATCTTCTCAATCCAAGCAGGGATCCTCTAGCCACAGGTCCCACAAAATAGTCTATAAAACAGACAATAAAGCTGCTATCGTATTTGCACATGTGCCTTTATATCCGGGCTTCTGAAATGCAAAGATGTGTTTGTAACATTCCTATTCCACCTATGAATGACCCTACCAAAACTTGAGCATTAGAAATTTAACCCTCTTAAAGCCAGCACAGAGAATGATAATTAACAGCGAATACAAAGTCAATCAGTAAACGAGAAAGAAATTTGGAGAGAGGCAAAGGCTCACAAGAAATAGGGAACTATTTGACTAAAACAGAAAGAGGACACTGGCGGGATCCCAACGCAGACTGAAGGTGCTTCTGTTGCGTGGAGCCCAGCTGACACCCTCTGAAACTGGCCCTATTTAAAAATGAAGGTCTTCCAAAAATTGAAATGAGAATGAATGAAATGCAAGTGAATGAAAATGCAGACTTCTCTGCTCCAGGAAGCATCGTGTTCGCTGTACGTTCAGCTTGTGCTGGCTGGCAGGGGATTTGGGGATTTGTTTTATACAAATCAGAGTTAAGGCAGCTTGAGGTTTGTTCTTGAGCTTCATTCACTGGTGTCTATGAAGAAGCAAGTCCTGACTTAACATAAACCCATGGCAAAGCTATTTGCAAAGTCTCCCTATTTGCTCTTTGCCTATTTTCTGCTTCCCAGTCTTAACTCTCTGATAATTAAGTGATGAGCTCCCACTGCAGCCTTCTCACGATGGGACACTTTCACCCTTCTGTCAGATGAGACCTTACCCTTCCTTCCAACACAATGAAACCAGCTGCCAGGGCCAA